TGGGTCTTAGAGACATACTCTGGCGCATGATATCCAGAGGTTCCTAAAACTCTTGTAGAATGAAGCGAGCAGCCATGTCAGGTGCCTGATTTGAAAGGTTGAAATCTACAATCTTGGCGTTAAAGTCCTCAAATAGGAGCACATTGCTAGATCTAATATCTCTGTGTATTATAGAAGGTTGAACCTTCTCACCCAAATATTCCAATCCCCTTGCAGCATCAACAGCAATTCCCACACGTTGCATCCAGTCAAGCACAGGACCTGGTTGTGCCCCTTGGACTCCCTTTCCACCTGTGTGTTGATATATAATTCAAGAAATTGCTTCTCAATTTAAGAAATTTTGAAGTAAAGCTCTAACTCAATTAAGAGAAGATAGACCAATTATGCATACCATGCAAAATGTCATGTAAAGATCCCATGGTTGCAAACTCATGTGCTAAAACACGGATATCCCCTTCAACACAGTATCCAGGCAACTCTACAAAATTTCCATGCTTGAGTCTCGAAACCATGGAAACCTAAAATGAAAGGAGGACCCATATTATCAGATAAAATGATAGACATAACAAACTCAGTATTAAGAAAATGAAAATTGCAAACTGAAGGAAACCAAGGAAATCAAATGAAGCTAAGTTTCACATAATCGTGCAACTTTCTTCCAAGGGAGCCGACTTAAAAAGTCTACTAACAATACTGGTCTAGTGTACAAATATATCTATACATACACATGGAAAACAAAAAAATTTAAAGGAGGCAGAATGTAATCATGTAGAAGTTAGAACCAGAGGTCTAACGTGATCCTGTATCTTGCTAAACTCGCCCCACTTTAGATTCAACTCTAAACACATCTTTAACTTTAAGACTGACAAATATAATAAAATGTTGAAATCTGATAGTTGCTGAAATTGCAGTTGCAAAAAAGATAATAAAAGCTACATTAAATGCAACGTAATACTTCAAAGATGATATAACATTACATGTATCTACATATATTACATATATCTATGCGCCCATATATAGAGATATATCTACATATCCATATATACAGACATTTAGATATACACCCAAAAAAAATTACTAATCAGAAGAAATATATACCCCTATATAATTGAATAAAAGATGATGTCTCCAAAGCAATATTTCCAAGTAAAAGGCGAACCAGAGAAGGCAACATGAAATCGAAATACGTATTTTTTTTTTGCTGGTTTCTCATATAATTTGTTTGTGATTACTGTTGTAGTATAGCAGTTGTTGATCACTAGTCTATATATCTCCATTTGTAAATGATTTATTTACACTTATATTGTATATATCTGTCTCTCTTATTCAACATGGTATCAGGAATCATACCTCTGATCTTTGTTTTGAAATCTGCCTAAAATTCAGTCTCAAATTCCACTGAACCATCCATACACGCGCGCACGCGCCCGGTGCTCTTGCGAGTATATCCAACGCGCTTTTCACGCGCCACCTTCTTCCTCAGCAATTCCAGTCCTCACACCCTCTGCGATCAACACCAACTCTCTGACGCCGTCAAGCACCAAAGATGTCGGCGTTGGGAGTGCGTCTGATTACCGGCCGCTGCTCTCTACATCGTCAACACACTGCTTCACTCTGCCTCCGCTGATCAACACATCGTCAACATCGCCATCGTCAACCGGTGGTTATATCTGCCGTCGCTGCTCCACGATTCCTCCCTTCACCATCAGCACCATTTTTCACTCTGTTGGCAAGCACTCCTAATATTGGGCGTGTATAGGATTATGATATACTCCGTACCAAAATTCTGGTTATATGAACTGTGAAGGACACGTCTCATGTCACTGTGAAGGCTTGGGCTTATTACTCTGAAGAGTTTGGGCTTCACTAGGATAGGGCTTATTACTCTGAAGAGTTGGGCTCAGTTTGTATAATTCATATTAACTATTTTCAGGTACACGTCTCGTATTTCTCCAAGTTATGGACTGATTTGAAAATTCTCATCCAATTGGGACTACTTTAGAAGGATGTTCAAATTACATTCTTTGGACCCAAGCTATGACCAGTTTTCTCAAAGGTAAGAAATGAAATTGTCGCGAATTGTCACTGGCGACATCCTTGAGCCGGTGCAAGAAAAAATTGAAACAAAAGAAAAATATGTTGATCACCTTGAAGATTGGGAGTGCAAAAATTATCAGATTATCACACCTCAATCGCATCCATTAGTATCGAATTTGGCCGTTTTGAGTCTGCAGTATCTATTTAGGATTTTTTTGAAGCATCGCTACACCATTACTAATTTCGCCCAACAGGATCGACTTTTGACCAATCTTCATAGCAAAATTCAACAGCTTGATCAATCTATTAGTACCTTTGTCTCTGAAATGCATCTCTGGATAAGGTGGTTTGAGATAAAGGTATCTCAACGAATGGGTAGTTGGCAAATAAGAAAGTATAACAGTTATCTCGACAAGTTAACCAGTTTGAAATCAAATTAAAGATAGCTCGAGCACTTAAAATTTAAAGGCGTTGACCAGGGCATCGTAGGTTCAAATTGAAAGGAACTAATAGGCTTGCAAAGGATCTCCTCGAATCACAAGAAGTTGCAAGAGACTTGGAAGATGATCAACTATAAGAACAAACCTCGGAAAACCAAATAGATGTGAGCAATGAATTTACAAAAAATTTATGCTTTAATTGATAACTTCAAGTGACTTTAGCATCAAAGAATTTTTGGTAGGCACCAACACCGATTCTATTTCAAAACTATAAGCATCAAAACCACTCATTAGAGCACCTCCAATGCTAAAACCTATTTTTGCATGCCAAATCTATATTTTGAAAAGTACTATAGTGCCAAAATGCTACATTTTAACAATTATGCTCTAATGGTACATTTCACACAAAATGCTATTTTTTAACATAACCACTATTCTTTTTTCAACTACTATTCCCACCATTCATATTTGCATCAGTAATATTAATATTAGGCACATTCCAAGTCAAGTTGTAGACATTAGAAAGAAACTAAAATTAGACCTAATTAAAAAGAAATACAAATCTAAAATATCTGGTCAAAAAAGGACAAAAAAAAAAAAAAAAAAAAAAACAAACAAACAAACAAATTTTTTATAATTTTTTTATCACTATTTGTGAATTAATTTTTTTATATAATTTTTTTTTCGAAAATTTATATATATTATATATAATATATATGTATATATATATATATATAGATGCGAGTGGGTGATGACTGGTGAGAAACGGCACCGTTTTGAAAAATGAGAGAACTGTCAAAAAAATTTGGTAGCTGTCATATATGAGAGAAATATGAGAATCTCAAATTTTGAGAGCTCAAATAAGAGTTGGAGAGGCCCTTTTTTACCCAACTCTCATATTTTGAGTTTGAGAGGCCCAAATAAGAGAGCATTGGAGTTGTTCTTAACAATTGTATAACCTCTCTTTACCATTAGGTAGAGAGGTTGAGAATTCAAGTTCCACTATAAACACGTGAATAATGATATGTGTTTGCTAAAAAAATAAAATAAAATAACATGCCTATTGTAAAATATCATTAGCCTACTAAGAAATTCACACCTCACCAAAGGAAAAATTCCTTCGAGAATTTTAGCTTTTATTTTTATAAAAATTAAATATAAAAATTATTTTTTCATTATACAAACACTCAGATAATTAATTTCATTTTTGGAGGATATTTTGTTATGTCACATAAAATGAGAGTAAAAAACGAGAAAATTATATTATAAATAATGAGAATTTGAACAAAATCGCGCAAAGAGTGAAATCGAAAATACCTTTAAAAAAAATTATGTAACCTAGGTAGTTATTCCTCACTATCCTTTTCTTAACGTTGCAGATCGGGATCGCGTAGAATTTGCTTCAACAAAATACGTGAGCCCTCTCTCATGCAGTTTCTCTCTCCACACACGAATTGTAATTATGGCGTCTTCCAAATGTTTTTAAAAACGCCAACAAACAGTAGCTTCTTTCCGTTAGTTGCGTTGGTTCTTTAAAACCCAATTCCCTGATAACACGCTGCCTGTCGCTTTCAATCCAAGTCGGGAGTCAGTGCCGCCCACCTTATCCGCACGCTATTTTCTCCCACTCCCATCTCTGTCTTTGCCCATCACGCTTAAATATACAAAGTCTTCTCTCTAGGAAAATGACAACCGCCGTAAAATTTACTAAAAAAATTAAAAAAACCAACACGATAATAATATTGAGTGACTGTAATTTTAAGAAAATTAATCAATAAACTTCATTCTAATCACAAGAATCCCTGCATTCAATTCGTATTTTATTTTTTTAATAGGCAGGACATGCTTAAACTCAAGTCATATAATATTTTTTAAAAAGTGTCGTTCTCACGTTTCGATCGCATTCTCGTTTTCACGCTCTGCGGGTATTTTGATCCAAATTCTCACTATCTACGATTTATTTTTGTCGCTTTCACGTCCTCGCTAAAGCTTTATGTGACTTAGGCTTAAACCTCATTTTATTTAAAACTACGTCCTTTATTTAGAAATCAAAAGAGAGCGCTCAAAAACAATTAAGACTTAGAATGAATATATTCACGTAAATTTAAATTCATATTTTAATATTCAAATTGAATCAAATTTTAAGAACATAATTTATATCCAAGCCACATAAGAAAGACCACATTCCATCCAATTTTAAATCGAATTCAAAATTCAAAATTAAAATTTAAACTCATTAAAATGAATATTTTTTTTACAGCATTAAAATCATGTCAAATTTGGGGGTATAGATCAACCCAATACTTGGTATTTTTGGTAAATACAATAATTATTACTATTATTATTTTTGCAAGTACACTAATAAACTGTTACCATAAAAAGGTAGGAAAACAATTTAAAGAAAATCAATCACTTTCATTGTGAACTCGCACATCTTCAATCAATTTATTACTTTTTCAATCTAGCGGCTGGCACACAAACTCAGCTTCATAGCTACTCAATAATTAATGCAAATTTATATTTTAAATAAAGGTCTCTTCTCTGTCCATCCACTTGATGGGCTTTTCTCTTTGACGCTTTGGATATCCCCATCTTCCCACATCACCCAATTCTGTGCCTTCCCTCTTCTGAGCTCTTCCCTTTTCTGGTAGCAATCTAACTTCAATATCAATGGAAATGGAAGGCTCCGATAATGAACGTCTTGATTTTGGGAAGATGGGTTATGGGTATCCCTCCCCCCTCTCTTTCTCTCTCTATATATATATGTATATGTATTTGTAACTTTGTATATATATGATATATAGGCATAATGTATAATTCTTCAACTCTTGATTGGTGGGTTGTGTTCTGTTTGATGTAAAACATGAGTTCTGATATTCTGATTAATGGGTTGTTGATAGATGCAAGCATTACAGAAGAAGATGCAAGATTAGAGCTCCCTGCTGTAATGAGGTCTTTGATTGTCGCCATTGTCACAATGAAGCCGTGGTATTGCCATTCATTTCATATCCCATCTTCTATCTTTAGCTCAATGTTTATTTCTATGGACCTTTTGTTATGGGGGTTTTGTTATTTTTTATTATTTGGTTTAATTGAAGCATGTTTGATAACCCCTATGATTGGAATGAACTCATCTCAGCGCTTATTTTGTATGCTTGGATTTGTACATGTATCTGTTGGATAACTATTTGATGTGGGTATGTGTTGTTTTTTCCTTTTTCTTGATTCATTAGAGCATGTTGAGCAATCCCTTTGATCGGCACGAAATTGTTAGATATGATGTTAAGGAAGTAAGTTTTAATTATTGATCTCTCTGTCCAATCGTCATTCACTTATTTACTTCTTTTTCTTATCAGATTGCGATTATGAAACATGGATTTTGTATTGATATTGCAGGTTATTTGTTCAGTTTGTGACACAGAGCAGCCAGTATGTATATCTTGGTTTGATGTATAATGATTCCTTTCTCTGTTTTTTCATCAATATTCCAATAAATTCTGTGGATATTCATCTCACTGCAGGTAGCTCGCCTCTGTACAAATTGTGGCGTTAATATGGGAGAATATTTCTGCAAAGTGTGCAAATTCTACGACGATGATGTAATTTAACTAGTACACATTGTAACTACTGTAATGAATTTATGTGTGAAAAGTATGCAAGTTTGCTTCTTGTGTGTGTGTGTTGTTGATCTGCCAGCATTCGAGCTTGAGAAGAGCTGGGGTTATATTTAAAACTTGGGATTTCTTTTTTATGTTTTCAAATGTTAACTTCTGTATGCATTATTGCAGATCGACAAAGGGCAGTTTCATTGTGATGATTGTGGGATCTGCAGGTTAGTGAACAAAGCAATTTTCTTCTGTTTCTGTATGAGTTGACTGATGTCATCGGCATGTGATAAATGAATACGTCTTCTCATCTGAATTCTTATAATTTGTTCAGAGTTGGTGGTCGTGATAATTTTTTCCACTGCAAGAAGTGTGGTACAATCTCACTCCCATGTCCCATAATGTTTTTGTTATTAACTGAACTACTTCTCATCATTTTCATTATGTTTGTCGTTGTTTATTTAATAGTGCACATTTTGCAAAATTATAGTAATGCTGGTTCGTTGTTCTCTTTTCGTTAAATTCTGATTTTAGCACACTGCTGAAGCATATGTGACTATTTTTGTTGATGCATTTATTTTTGCTAGTTACTATATTTCCATTTCTGTATAATCTGTTTAAAATCTTTATTTATTTACTTTGCATGTTTCCATATGGCTACCAAACTTAAAAATATGAAAGCAAATGATAGTTGTTGATTCAAGTGCTCTAATTAAAATTGAATTGGTAGTTAATGCTTCTGGTGATTGTAGATCAAAGGGGATCCTGCTGATCAATGCAAGAGATGAGGGTGCTGGCACTTACTTCGATTTAAAGAAGTTCATGCTGGCATCTTGCTGATTATCTTGTCTTCTATAGTTGCTTTAACACATCAAGCCTACTTATAATAATAATAAAAAAATGACTATGTAGCTACTACATGTCGAAGGCTTTGAATTCAATATACCTATCTTCAAGGGGATAAAATAGGTTCGTATTTTTTAAGAGAGTTATTCCTGTTTCACGTAGATTTTTGTTTTGCAATTTTAGTAATGGAATAATATAAAACTCAATCTTTTCTAACTATTTGGAGTCGATGATATGAATTTTGTTTCACCACTCTGCTCTATTAAAGGCTATAGTTTCAGTTAAATGACATGATTTCATATCTTCCCTAACTATTTCATCCATGTTTTTTTCTGGTCTTTCCCTTCCTCAACCTCGCACTCAATAAAAATCACATCTATTTTTTTTTTCTTAGTTGGTACTCACACAACCATGCCTCCAGTGAGGCTTGAACCTCTGACCTCACTTTGAGAAGTAGGAGCTTGGTACTGCTGGGCCATGAAAAGGGAAGAAAAAAACAAAAAAAAAAAATAGAGACAAAGATGGCCTGCCCATCATGAATCGATTTTCTATCAATTTATCTCCGATTGGAGGTGCTTCAACTATTCACGGATGGAAATGTTTCTAATTTTATACTTTCTTGTCTTGCTTCACATTCACCTCAACATTCACATTTTTGTTACATGCATTTTATGAACATGTGTTTCCTATCCGCCTAACATTTGGTTTCGCATAGTATGACTGGTCTAATTGCTATTTTATGGAATACACCTTTCAATTTTAGACGTATATGTTGACCGCACAATATGCTAAAAGCACTTGTCTATTTAACCCATCGTACTTGTTCCTATGTTTTACACCATCTCTAGTTTTTTCATCTGTGCACAATCAATCCTAAATAATTAAAATATTTGTCTTTTGGTATCTCTTGATCCTCGATCATCACTACCTCCCCACTTGTAATTGTAGGTTTACTAAAATTACAGATTCAGTTTCAGTTCTACTTATCTTAAATCTTTTGTGGGTCATATCAATTATCCTTTGCTCCAGTTTCATTAATTAATATGATATGATCAACAAATACTTTATATCACATAACCTTATCCTAATGTGTTACATTAGTTCATTCATAATGAAAGAAGACAAAAAGATCCGTAATTAATTTCAATCATTGATGTTAGACTACATTATGTAAAATTTGTTTCACCCAAATTTGATCCTACCGTAGTCAGAGTTTTGTCATAAATACTCGTATCTGGTCAATATATTTAAGCTTAGCTCTTTTCTTTTCTTTTCTAAAATCCATCGTATTAAAACTCATAAGGACTCTATGACAAGCTTTCTCCAAATGTACAAAAACTAAGAAGATTTTCTTTCTCTCTCCATATTTTCCCACTATGACACCTTATTAGGTATTTGGCTTCCATTATTCACCTTCCTAACGTAAATCTAAATTGATTTTCTAGCACCATAGTTTCACGCCTTGGTTATTGTTGAACAATTCTCTCCCAAAGTTTCACAGTATGAGTCATTAATTTGATACAATGATAATTTGTACAATTTTGAATATCTCCTCTATTTTTGTATATTGGTACTAAAATACTTCTACGCCACTCATCATGCATTTTATTAGTTATTGTTATATTTTTGTTAGCCAAGACACCATGATCAAATAAACACTTTCAGTCTCTAATATGAAGTTATTTAGTGCTAAAGCTTTTTCTGTTTTCATCTTGCTCAATACAAGTTTAATCTTGCACACCTTAGTCCTGCAAAAAAAATTATTTTTAATATCTCCCTAGTGTTACCATATTCTTCTAGAATTAAGCATTCTATATGATTTTCATTTAACAACTTCACAAAGAAACTTTTCCACCTTTCTCAAATTTCATCAATTTTCACTAAGACTTAAATCCTTGCTCTTGATGCACTTAATTTTGATATAAAATCTCTAGTTTTCCTCTCCCTTAATTTAGCAAGTCTGTAAATATTCCTTTTCCCATCCCTTTTACCTAATTTAAAATAAATATCATCATACACTGGGTACTTAACTCCTCTCTTTACTTGTTAACTTCTTTCTATTTATATTATAAGTACACACACACACACACACACATATATATATTTCTTAAGGGCTGCTTCATTTTTAGCCTTTTGTCAAGTTAAATAATTTTACTTCTCCTTAAATTTCACCACCCAGTTCTTAGGTTTATAATCCCCTCTCTCTTTAATTGTCCTTTAATATACATGATTAGGATTGTCAAGCTATGGTGTGGCATTAAACACCCTCGCGGAATAACCTTACAGTATTGCACGCAACTCTATCCACTCTTTTAGTTAGAAGGTCAATCGGACTTATATTATTCTGCTTTCTAATAACACACTAACAATTATATCATTTTCTTTTAAATTCTTATCAACGATTATCTCTGCTTTATTTTCATGTATATTTCCACTGTCCCAGCTTTCTGTTCCATGAAGTTTCTTGTAGGCACCATATTAGCTCTCCTTGTAAGTGTCTACCAGCTCCATTCTTTTAGTATTCCTATATTTCGAGTCCCTGACCTAAGATTAGTATCTTGAACCAAGTTGGTTACTGTCCTCGTATAGAAAAAGGGAGGGTATTTTCCTGTTTCCACTGCATTCGGTGCCAATGTGACATCCCTTGCCCATTTTCCGAGGCATCCATAAACAAATGGAACACGTTGCTTAAGGGGAATCCCTAGTAATTACTTGAATACTCTTAGGATTCATGTTCCTAAATTCCTGACAACGGTTCAACATTGACTGCAAAGCTACCTGAACCCTTTAAAGCTACCTGAACCAACTCTTCTCTTTTCTCGGATTTGTGACTGATCTTGTAAAGATAAGACACACAGGCAGAATTAGTAATGACTAATGATTCATATGTGTTATAATAATTGTCTATTAAGCTTTGTTATTATTTTTCCCAATGAAAAAAAGGGTCTAGTTACCCATGCTTCCAACTTTCACTCGGTTCATCTCAGCACTCCAAGTGTGAGGAGAAATGACAAGTTATTGGAACATTAATTTGAAATAGATGGAGTCAGGACTTCGACCTCAACAGAAAACTGAAAAATAGCAAAAGCAAGTGATTGAGTTAAGTAGTTCCTTATATAAACTTATTAACTCTTGAGTAATATGGAGAAGACATAATTGTTTCAAGCCCGAAAGATTTGGAAACATCTAGCCATGTGATTCCTGCTGAAGCATATGCTAGGGGGGGAGGGCAGGACGGATGAATTTAAAGTAGCCTCATCCATTCATTAAATGGAGATCACCAAGATTTGGTGATCAAATTGGTAAATGGTTCTTAAATACCCTATTTTCACACATTAAGGTGCCATCACTGTTGAGTTAATGCATAATATGAGATCCAGTGGGGTGTATGGCATTCTTATATTCTTCAATTCGTCAAAGCTGATCATCGTTTTTGCCTTTTTGCATTCAATTTATTGGGGTCCAAGCACTCTAGAAACTATGATTATTATAGTTACTAACGGATGTACCATAAATGTGTACCAATTTTTGCTTGTGATTTCATTCAAAACTTATGCGATAGCCATAGAGCACTTTTTACCCCCTTTCTTCCCCAGGATTTGGAATTGCTTTATTCGCAGCTTGTATTTAACGGGTAGTTTATATCCATGCGGTAATATTGATTTTGGTGTATTTCCTTTCTTCACTAGCTAATTGGCTGAGTAGTATCTGTCTCAGTTTGTCAGTTTCAGTAGTGGGTCTTGAACAATACTTGTACCATTTAGACTTTTTGACTTGGGCAGTTTACCAATCTCAGTACCTTTGCATATTCATTTTCCAAAAGAGAAGGAGAAGAAAAGAAGAAGAAAACACTCCTTAGCTTTATCATTTCCATCAGTTCTTATTAATAAATCCATGTTTTTTTGCATTGCATGATATTCATTAAACTTGATTAGTTTTTGCTAAATATGTTCTTTTAGAACTACTTTTCTTTTGTCGAGTGCACAGGATCTTGCTATTCGGTGAGTCTGCGTGATAATCACTCGTGTGTGGAGAACTCCATGCGGCATCACTGTCCCATATGTTATGAGGTATCACTTTGTAACTTCCTTGGTTCTTTGTTTCTTAAAAGCTGAGAAGTTTTTTATATTCTAACACTTGCCATGTTTGATTTTACAGTATCTCTTTGACTCATTGAAAGACACTACCGTGATGAAATGTGGGCACACAATGCATTGTGAATGTTACCATGAGATGATGAAGCGTGACAAGTGAGCATTTATTTCGCCTTCAGACTACCATATTTCCCTTGTTTTATTTAGAAGTGAAAAATGATCATATATGGTTTTTTCTAATTTGAATTGAATATGTAACTCAGATACTGCTGTCCCATATGCTCCAAGTCAGTGATTGACATGTCCAGAACCTGGAAGAGAATAGATGAGGAGGTGGGTTTTTTTTTAATGTGCTCACTATTACATTTCTATTTTATCCAGAACTCTGGGGAAAATGTGCTTACTTGTAGACAAATTTATGAAATGTTGGTTGAGCCTGCTTATTGTCTATTATTCAATTATTTATTTAATGGAACAAAATTTCATTTATAAAGCTAGTACAAGTTGTGTATGATAGTCCTAACTATTAACTTGTGGCACTGTCCACCATATAATTGGCTTTAGCAATTGATATTCTTTTCCTAGACAAATGTCTACTTTCTTCTATTATTCATATAATTGTACTAGCTTCTCATTTGGTACATAAGGTCAACTGCAGTATTGACTCCCATTATCTAATGTTGGTCCCCCATCTATAGAGAGTGCTTGGAGGTGTAAACTGACTACAAACCTAATTATTAGCATTGCTTTGGCTGCTATAAATCTCAAACTCAATGCCTTGTCAACCGGGCTTTTTTACCACTGTGCCCACTATTGGTTCTTGCTTTATGTTTATTTAATAAATATAAATTCTCAGATCTTTCATGGTAACTTTTACCTAGTTACTACAATTATTATCTTTTTTGGGGGTAAAATTGATAATAGTGCTCCAAAAAGAGCCTCTGACACTCCACTTACTTTGATATTAAGAGTCAAGAAGTGGAGTGCCAAAGGCTTTTTTTGGGATAAGAACTAATATCACATCCTTTTTTCTTTATACCTGGACCGATTTCTATAATATTACAGCAATCTTGATTTTGCTTTAACTTGAAAAAGCTTTTCATTTTGACAGATTGAAGCAACCATCATGCCTGAGGATTACCGGGATAAGAAGGTACTTCATTCTACCTAGTTAATATGTTAAATTGGTGCCACTTAAGATGAGGTTTGTCGGCAGATGGCCCATATTTTCATCTATTCAAAGATTATCCATCAGAGATCAACATATTGTTGGATAAACCACATAAACGTTTATGTTGCATATTGATCGTGCATTGCTACCTTTTGGATTGATTTCCAACTTCTGTCCAAGAGCATCCTCTATTAACTTCAAAAGACATTTCATCCGAACACAACTAAGAAGCAGAAAATTTGCAGGTTTGGATTCTATGTAATGACTGCAACGACACTACCGAAGTCTTCTTCCACATAATTGGGCAGAAATGCTGCCACTGCAAATCATACAATACCAGGACAATTGCCCCTCCCATTCTTCCTCAATGAGCAGCAGGTTATTCTTCTACGGAATTGTTCAGGTGGCTAGATGCATTAAAAGCTACGGCAAACAGAAGGGAGCTCTTTTACTGCATCTTCAAATAGCTTCGTCCTATTATTCTTCTTTTTCATATGATTCATAGCCATTACATCATGACTCAAATGACTAACATTTATTTGTGTGCTTCGTGAACGTTTCTGAGGTTACTCCTCCAATTTTATGGAGTTAAAAACCGAGTTCAATATAGATCATTGTACACCTCGCATTGTGAAATTAAGGGACTACCGCTTCCTGTTAATGGACCCATCGACAATGGTGTTCTCTAATAATACTTGATAACCATCATATGATTTGCTATATATGTGTGTGTGTATATATATATCACCTATGGATTGTAGAACTTTTTTCCAAGCAGGGTATTGAAACAAATGCTCTATATGAAGTGCATAATATGGATATCTAGAATTAGTGGGGAATTTCTTTGGTCTTGTTTGCAGTCCTAAAAGTGTGAATGATGCCTTAGAAATGATCTCTTGCTTATGGATGAAAAGGAAATTCATCCACACCGTTGAGCTTACGGTGAGCAAGAAATTTATCCACACCGTTGTGATTGCTATGTTATTTATTTTTTGGCAACTATTTTTTTTTTTTTTTTTTTTTAATATTTACTGTCTCTATGGTTTGAATGAATTACCCTATGAAGCCTGGATCTTCATATAGATACATTTGTGTTGCAGTTTGGTCACAAGCATATGTTTCACCAAATGTACTAGTAGGGTTGCAAATGAGCCGAGTCTGGGTCTGCTCGGGGTTAGCTCGTGACGAGCTCAAAAAATTGAGCTCGATCTCGGGCTCGTCTTAATTTTAAAAGTTTAGGCTCCGGTTGATTAACAAAAATAAATAAAAATCAAACTCAAAATTAATTATAATCCACATGCAACAACAAACAGTATGCACTATCATGGAAAAATGGCTCAACTTCCAGCCAATTATCAAATCAAAGCTACTTGTTTTTATAAGAGAAGTCTGAACTTACAATACTTATAATACAATTTCACAATTAAAAGCATTAGATTCTTATTATAACAAGAACATTTGCTGGGTTCGCAATATTATCTGCAATCTTTACTTTCCAGCCATCAATTAGAAGTTTACATGCCCAGTAGCCTAATATCTTGCTCACAAGTCAATGGACTGGGACAAGAATTTAGATGATACGTAATACCTACACATGAAAACACCAAAAACAAAGTAGGGTTTCTTACTGAAGGCAAAGATCAAGCCCCAATTTTCAGTGATGCCTTGAGACACCAAGAGAGAGCCCTACAGAAAGAATCGACGATGTTTTACCTTCCACTGGACTTTGATCTTCATTGGACTCTTAGAAAGAGAGGAAGAATGCACAGATGATATAATTCTTTTTATGTTTGCCCTCTTATTTTTGGTTGGTCTTCACTTGCTCTTCACAATTTCATCTAATTGGTATCAACAATAAAGTGACTGACTACCTAGAGAATGCAAAAGAAATGCAAAGAATGGAAAAAGGGGTAAAAAGTGATAGAAATTTATATCTTGTACGTGTCACCACTTAGAGAATGAAGGAGATTGTGAAGAGATAATGTTTACATTATTTCATTTATTTTAGTACTTAAGTTATAATAAAATTAAAGATCTGATTATATATATATATATAAAAGATATCTAATTTATGTATTTATATAACGAGCCGAGTCAAGTCTTGCTCGTGAACATTAACGAGTCTAAACGAGTTCGTGTTCGCAAGCCTATATGAGCCGAGCCCAATATTGCTTAGGCTCGGCTCATTTATTAAACGAACCTATAAATTGAGCTTGAGTTCGATTCGTTTATTTAATGAACGAGCTCGAACCGAGCCCGAATAGTGTTGGCTCGTTTCATTTATTGCCCTATGTACTAGCATATTTTTCCTAGCACTACCCTCAAAGGTAGCATATTAACCATGAAAATACATTTGTACTATAATAGTAGCCTTTTCACATAAATTGTTTTTTTGTGTTTGATTGTAGTAAAATATTTACAAAAGAAAAAAAAATTAAAATCTAATAAAAATAATTCCATCAATTTTTCACAAACTATTTTACATGCCCCACCCGATAGATTTGGTGGACTCAACCTTAACCTTTGCCACACACTGAAAAATAAAAATAAAATATGTTGCCTAAAAAAATAATAAACAGAAGAAAAAAAAATCGGAGGAAAATAGTTTACGTCCGAGCCTAAAACTCATTTTCGGAAACAATACTCTTTGTGACAGTTTCCGAAGAACCCAATTACTTTGGAGCGAAGAGAGTATAATGTATACAAATATCGGAAAAAACAGCAGGCAAGTTTCTGTATACAGAGACATGTATCCATAAACATGATGGGTTGGATACCGAGATTGTGTAAAACCACGCCCAGCCCGAGCCTACCAAGATTCGGCCCGGATTGAACTCTAAAAGTCTAGCCCAGCCCCATAAGAGGATGGGTAGGACTAAGGGCAGACTCTGAAATTTCTACTTGGGGGCCAAACATATAGTGTAAAAATAAATATTATAAATTATAAATTCTTTAAATATATATAAATATATCTATCATTTTTTTTACAATAGATGTTTTTATTCTCAATTTAAAGAATATCTGAAATAAAATCATCTATAATCTAGAAGCATTTCATAATCCATGAAGTTTTACAAAAATATGTTTAGCTAATTCAAAAATAGATATGCACAATGATGAATAAATAAATAATTTTACCATATATTTAGTCAAGTATGACATAAATTTGTAGAAAAATTGAAAAAAAAAAAAAAAAATCATTTACTATAGAAATTGTTCTCGACGACCTTTTAAAGAATGTGACATGACACATATCAAATGAAATGCATCCAAAATCACATAGGGTTAATTAAAAAAATTAAAAATTTGTGGAAAATTAGAACTTTTTTTACTTAATCTATCATCGCAAAGACAATCTAAACTAAGAAAATTCATACGACACCATTAAAGAATATGGTATGGTGGTGTGGTAAAATAAATAAATAAAATAAATTGTAGATTTTAGTGTAATCAATATGAAAAGATGCATGCATTAGATATATGGAGAAAAATGACGAATTATACAAAAATACTAGCAAAATGTAAAGAGATAAACCAAAAATATACATACTGAAATATAAATACATTGGGTTTTGACATTGAGTTTGGGACGAACTGGAAATTAGTTAATATATTGTGTATTGGTGTCATTTGCATGAAGTCAAGAACATATATGTTGATGGGTTTGAGGCCATGCACACATTAGTAGATTTTGGTTATGATGTGAGTTATTATTAAGGTTGTTAAAATCAGAATTTTACGTAGGATTGTTTTAGGCTTCGTAAAATTAGAATCGTAGAATCAAATCGAGAATCATAACATTCTATCAACTAGTAAAAAAATAATTCAAATTAACTTTTTAACAAATAATATGTGTAAAATATAGGAAGAATAAGGCCTCTATATATATATATATATATATATATATATATATATATATATATTTAAGTACCATTCTAAAGTGCAAATATAATATAAAAGAGAATGTAGCTCAAAAGGTAGAGCTCTCATGACAGCAATGCAATTTGAACAACAGCAGAAAAAATAATAATAATAATAATAAATAAATAAATAAATAATTAAAAAAAAAAAAAATTGAACAGCAACAACAAAAAAACATTTGAGTAATTGAAGTTTATTTTGAACAAGACTTTAAATTGAAGTTTGAACAGAACAGTAGGGATTCAAGGAAGAATAACATATTCAGAACAGGAGGATCAAGAAGTTTATGTCGCCAAAGGAAGAAAGGTACAACATTGAGTTTGAAATCCTAAAATATACAATAAGGTGTATTTACAACAAAATACATCCACTCCAAAAGTCGTCCCAAGCAATTCCTTTTCTGAAAAATGTTTGTTATATAAGGGTTGTTGAGTGTGCGCAAGGGAATGGTTGTAGAATATAATATGGATAGGTAATCTAGAGAGATAGTAAATAGATTCAACTTGCTCTTTTATTCAATTTTTACTTATTTTAATTTTACCAAAATAAAACTAAAATCAAACCACATAGCAAAAATAAAATGCAAGTAAAGTAAATAGAGTTTGAGAGATGACGCTAGGATTTTATCGAGAAAACCCCAATTGGTAGAATAGACAAATTGTAACAGGAAAAACCTCGTTGGACTTTGCAGTCCTGAGATAAACGATCCACTATGTTTGAAACAAAGTATACCGAACTTTGAATCAGTCTCACACTATCGTTTTACTAAAAACCAATTGCTGACGATCCCTGACTTTGCGACTCCCCCGTCCAACAGTTCTCGACCTCAAGCTTACTCTCGATCTCTGTAGAAGAGTTGTAGGTAGATCAGACAACACTCCACTAATGCTCTGACCCCTTCAAAGTGTGATTGCTTCACCCCTTTTTTTCTAGATCTGAATTTGATGAAGAATGAATGAATTCTACTTTTTGAAATTTCTGAATCTTCAATTATGCTCCAATTTCGATAAAATAGAGAACAACACTACTAAATCACTCTTGTATTTATGTGTGTGCTCTCAAAAATAAAATCAGAAAATCAGATTGATTTTTAGAATAAAAATATCTCTCAAAGATGGCTTTAATAAGATCTAAATTTTGTATGCAAAAGCCGTGAATAAACCTATGTGTATGATAAAGTTTATATAGAGTTTAGAATGTCCTAATCCCTCTGAAAATATAGAAAAATTAGTGCATAGGACTTGGAAGGAAATCTAGTCCAAAAAGGAATCAGAATAAACAAAGGAAACTGAAATTCTAAGGTTGCCAGGACTTCTTGAACCGATTCAGGAATTTGGGAACCGATTCAAGATGGCCAGAAGGTATTTCGAAGGCTTCTTTTGACTCTTGAACCGGTTCAGGAATTTGGGAACCGATTCAAGATGGCCAGTCATGAATTTTTTCAATTCTCCTGATCTTGAACCTGTTCAATACTTTTAGGAACCAGTTCAAGATGGACAGAATGTAAAATCTTCCTTTAAAAACTTCCAAACTCTTCCTAAGTGTTCTCACTTCCTCTCCAAACTTCCTAGAGCATTGTCTCATCATCTCGGAGTGTGGTATACCATGAACATTTGAACTTCTTCAAATCTGCATCCGATCTTCAAGCTTGAAATTGTGAACCGAAAAATTACAACTCCATCGGACTTGTTTTGACAACGAAATTAGCCGATATACAATATATATATTTTTCACAATCTCCCCCTTTGGCAATTTCGTGACAAAACCCTAAAAACAACATGTAATCTACCAAGCAGGAA